TGAGAATGAGGAGCCAATTATGTAATTCTCAGTTTGAAGGCAGAAGATGAACTGAAATGTCCCAGCACAAGCACTGAGTCAGGACAAAGGCACAAATTCCTCCTTCCTCAGCTTGTGTTATAAGCAGGTCCTTAATGTATTGGATGAAGCCCACCTATGCTGGAGAGGGCAATCTACCTTACTGTATTCACAGATTCAAATGCTAATCTCATTCAAAAATATCTTCACAGACAGGTTGACACCTAAAATTATCCCAATATTTAGAAACAAAATAAGTTCCATACATGTATATTTAAAACTACATCCTCAAGAAACACAATGTCAGCTAACTCATTAAACTTGTATTGCATAGTAGAAAGATGATTAGATTTACAGTCATGGACAGGATTCTAAAGTTAGTGTTTGAACAGCAAAAGCATTTATTAACCTCTCCACTTTTGTTTCTTCATTCTCAAAATGGCAGAGTAAAAGAGGCAGAGGCTACTAGTTTGTGACTTCTTAGTGTATTAGTTAAGACTCTTGGTTCCCAACCAAAAATTTACTCAGTGTTGCTTAAGTAACAAAAAGAGATTGTTCCCCCTCCAAAAAAAAAAAAAAATGGGGGTTGAGAGATGGAGAACAAAGTTGGAACACCTGACTTCAAGACTTACTGTTAAAGGAACAAAAGACCATGCGGTGTTAAAACCACGACATAAAGAAAAGACCACCGACTCCAATTTTAAATCAAATTAAAGCAAGCTTGTAATTCTGTCCAGGACTCTCTCCTGAAAAACCCTTGGCTAGAGAACAGTACCCCAGCTCTCTGAGCATGGTTTTATAGCAAAAATGTTGCAAAAGGGAGGTGTCTTGTGAACTTACAGATAACAAGATTTTGACAAGCATAATACAAAGGCAGGTGGTAGGTTAATGACCTAAATGGTTCAACATTTCAAGATAGGGAGTAATTTAGGTCCCAATACCAGAATTTATGAGGTGCTGCTGAGGTTTCAGAGAGGGTTGTTATCTGGTCAGGGAAAATCAGAATTTATTAGGCTCCACTAAGGTTTCAGAGAGAGTTGTTATCTGGTCAAGGAAAGCCAGGCATGGGTGAGTTCAAGGCACAGGCAGGCATTCCAAGCGAGTTTAGATATTGCAGTAATTTATAGTAAAACAGAAGTTAACTTTTCATGACTTTGTGACGAGATGACTCCCAATCTTAAAATGGAATTAGGCTGGGTTCATCAGTGGAACTGGAGAAAGAATAGAAAAACAGATTCCAAAGAATTGAGAGCACAGAAATTGACCCACATAAGTACAGTTGACTCATCTTAGACAAAGATGCAGAATAATATAGCAGAAAAAAGTCAGTTCTTTCAATAAATAGTGCTGAAATAACAGTACATCCACTTGTAGAAAAGTAAATGTACACATGGGCCTTGTACCCTTCACAAAATTAACTTAAAATGTATCATACATATAAATATAAAATACAAAACCACTAAACTCCAAAAAGATAACACAGGAGAAAATCAAGATAAACTTGGTTTTTGTGATGATGTTTTAAATACAATACCAAAGGCATGATCCATAAAAGCAAAGATTGATAAGCTAAACCTCATTAAAATTAACAATTTCTGCTCTACAAAAGATACCATCAAAAGACTAAAAAGATAAGCTACAGGCTGGAAGAAAATATTTACAAAAGACATATACAAAGAACTCTTAAAACTCAATGATAAGAAAACAAGCAAGCCAATTTAAAAATGGGCCAAAGACCCTAACAAACATCCCACCAAAGAAGATGTACAGATGGTAAATAGGCATATGAAAAGGGGTTTCACATTGTATGTCATCAAGGAAATGCAATTTAAGATAAGATACCACTACACACCAATTAGAATGATCAAAATCATAAACATTGACAACACCAATGGTGATGGTGCGGAGCAACAGGAACTCTCATTCATTGTTGGTGGGAATACAAAATGGCACAGCCGCTTTGGTCTTTCTCACAAAACTAAACATATTCTTAACATATGACTCAATAATCACACGCCTTGGTATTTACCCCCCAAAAGTGAAAACTTATGTTCATATAAAATCCTGCACATGGATGTTTACAGCAATGTCATTCATAATCTCCAAAATTTAGAAGAAACTAAGATGCCCTTCAGTAGGTGAATGGATAAATAAACTATGGCACATCCAGACAATTAAATATTATTCAACACTAAAAACAAGTGAGGCATCAAGCCATGAAAGGACATGGAAGGAATTTAAATTATTAAGTGAAAGAATTCAGTCTGAAAAACTACATACTTTATGATCACAATTATATATTCTGGGAAAGAAAAAATACAAAAACTGTAAAATGTTCAACGGTTGCCACTAGTTCTGGGGTCAGGACAGACAGAACCCAAGTGATTTTTAGGATAGCAAAAACACTCTGCATGATATTATAATGTTGAACACATGTCATTATACATTTGTCCAAATCCATAGACTGTATCAAGAGTAAACTCTAAGGTAAACTAGAGTTTGAGTGATAGGATGTGTCAGTGTAGGTTCATTAGCTATAACAAATATGCCACTGGGGGTGGGGGATGTTGATAATAGGGGAAGCTATGTATATGTAGCAATAGGACATATATGGGAAATTTCTGTACCTTTTACTCCTTTTTGCTATGAACTTAAAATGTTCTAAGAAAAAAAAAGCCTATTTTAAAGAGAGAGAGAGAGAGAAAGAGAGAGAGATAAAAAGATGCTCAGAAGTGAAAAGAAGACATTACATAATAGACCCCCTGGGGTCTTACTTCCTACCTGCCTTCCCTGACACATTCATCTCATCCTTAACCCCAGATAAGAATGAGGTCTTATTGAAATTGTTTGCATCAGGATAAAGAACAAGAAAAAAAAAATTGTCAACAGATAGTCCTTATAAATGAATAGATTATTTGTATGTCCTTTACAAATGGTAATATGAAAGTTCCTGAGATTTAAAAAAAGACCTTATCTTTTGCAGATAAGCTAGCAGCTGTGCATATTATTTTGGGAACCCTGGAAGATCCAAGAAAAGCTATACTGAGATATGCTGCTTCTGCTCCTATTTAATGTGACTACCTTACTTAACCTAATTTGTGTTCTTTGTTAAATAAATTATTATTTTAAACTGGGTGTGTATGTGCACACAGAGGAAAACGGAGGTTTTATCAACATCTGTAACCCTCCTCAAATGTCACACTTATGTAATGAAAATGTCTATAAACTAATATGTCCCTACCTACCTCAATCACACRTGTGATCTCCAGAATGCATCTTGCTTTTTCATACCTCTTATCTTTAATTATATTGGTCCCTCTGCCTGGACCACACATACTTGCCTTCCCCTCTCCCTCTTATCCACAGCAACTTCTGTTACCTCACTTCCCAGAGAAGAGAGACCTAACAGACACCCTAATATGTGTTCACAACAATAGAACTTTTCACTGTGTCAATTTTTTTCCTTCTTATGTCTATTCCGTCAGTGAACTGTGAGCCACTCAAGAAACAGAAGTGGGTTTTTTTCAATTTTTTATTGGTGCGTTATAATTGTACATAATGGTCAGATTCATTGTTGCATATTCATACGTGCACACAATATGACAAGATAATTTGACCAGTGTCATTCTCTAGTAGTTCGTGTTTCTCTCCCCTCCTCCCTTCCCCTGGTCCTTTTCTCTACTGATCTCCCTTAGATTTTCATGAGGTTCCCACCACTTTTCTTTTCCTTTTTACTCCCTAGCTTCCACATGTGAGAGCAAACTGTTGATCTTTGACTTGGTGAATTTGGCTTATTTCATTTAACATAAAGTTCTCAAGTTCTATCCTTTTTTTTTTTTTTTTTTTTTTTTTTAATGACATAATTTCATCCCAGAAGTGTTTTCTTCATCTTTATATTTCCAGGGTCTAGAGTGTTTGTTAAAGGATGTACATATGTGTTTATTTAAAGATGAAATTTGACATCACATTAAAAATCAGCCTAAAGTTAGACATCAGAGATGTGTTTTGCCTGGCCAGCCTTACCCATTTTCTCCACCTCGACTGTTCCCTCTCTCCCTCTCTCCCCTTTGCTTAATTATTCATATTGATTGCTTAATCTGGAAGTTTCTTAGAAAAATATTTTTTAATGTTTTTTTTAAGATAGCAAAGAAGTGGGGAAAAAAAGTATTTTCTTTCAGTGCTCACCTTGAGAAGCAACATAAGCAAGACTACTTTCTCCAAAATGAGAAGCAAACTAGTCCCTTCCAATCCTATCAAAGATCCAGTGTTCCGTCCCCTTCAAAATCAACACCTTATCTGTTCCAACAGAAAATGAATTCAAATATGACTGTATATGTGGGAGTTAAGAAGTCTCTCCTTGGCACCTAATGTGGCTACCTCCACTTAAGACCAGTATTAACCAAAGTTAGAAAATCTCCAACTGGGTTCCAAGTACACCTGCTTAGAGTTAATTTCTCTTGTTACTACTCTATATACAATAGGCATCCGATAAGTATCATCCTTAATGAATCCTGCTTATCCTCTACTAGGGGTAAAGCTATAACACTAGAATGGCATAAGCATATGTCTTTTGTAACTCTAAAATCGCTAACAGTAAATGGAGTAAGAATAGTAAACACAACTCCAGTTGATTAAAAAATATTAGCTCCCTTCCTTTCTTCTGCACTTTAGTCTTCCAGGTAACCTTTCCAGGGCAGCCGTTTTAATGTGATTATGTCCCCCACACAGACATTGATTTATGTTCTCACTCAGGTACTGGCATTTTGCACCGCCTCATGAAAATGAATTATTCACCCTAGATTAGAGATCGGGCTATTTCACCACGTCAATTTTTTAAAGCAGTCTACCTAAAAGCCCACTCAGTCCTCAACACAGAATGCGCTTAGCGCTCTCCTTCCGGCTTCCGTAATCTCGCTCGGTTTCGCGAGAACGAGATAGAGCTCCGCCGCGCGGCCACCGGGGGCGCCTCGGGAACACTTCCGGGAGGTGAGCAAGTGTGTGTGTGTTTCCGGCGGCTGCTAGGCTGCTGCCTCAGCCTCCGGGATCACGGGCTCAAGCAGTAGACACGGAACTGGGTCCTAGCAGTCCACCGGCTCTCGGACCCTGCAGCCTGTCGCCATGGACCGGGATCTTCTACGTCAGTCGCTGAATTGCCACGGGTCGTCATTGCTCTCCCTACTGCGGAACGAACAGCAGGACAATCCGCACTTCCGGAGCCTCCTAGGGTCGGCATCCGAGCCCGCCCGYGGCCCGCCGCCCCAGCAGCACTTACCGGGCAGGTAATGGTGCTGCTGCGCCGCTGTGAGACCGGGGTGGGGACGCCTTCCACTCGGGCTCCGCTCCCGCAGCCCCGGGCTGCACCTAAAAGAAGCGGAGCGGTGGCACGTGAGACTGGCTAGCTAGTGCAGAGTGCTGAGTGAAAGAAGGTTGGCGCACCAGGTTTGTGTGCAAGGAGGATTTCGAGCTGAACTTTCTGGTACTGCCAGATCGAGCCACAGATTCCTTAGTTAAAATCTCTCGGGCTTTCCTATCTGAAGCTGGAGGCGCCACGTTCTAGGTTTTCCCGCCCTCCGCTTCCAAGTTGTCGGATGAGGGAGTGCCTGGTTAAAACTTTTTCCTGGGCTGTACGGAGTGGGTTTTTCATAATCAGAAGTTTAGACATGAAACGGCTTTGCAAATAAACAAGTTTTCATACGTTTTTGTTTCTTTTAAGAAAAGAGAAAAGAGTTGACAACATTGAAATACAAAAATTCATCTCCAAAAAAGCAGATCTGCTTTTTGCACTTTCCTGGAAATCGGATGCACCTGCAACTTCTGAAGTTAATGAAGACAATGAAGGTGAGTTTAGTCTCCAAACCTTTCTAACATAGGAGGTTTGATTTAACAGTCCTTCAGATAAAACAAGTCAAAACTATTGTTAGTGATGTTAAATTTTTTTCTTTTTTTTTTTTTTTTCCAGATCATTATGCAGTCATGCCACCTTTAGAGCAATTCATGGAGATACCTAGTATGGACCGGAGGGAGCTGTTTTTCCGTGATATTGAGCGTGGTGATATAGTGATTGGAAGAATTAGTTCTATTCGAGAATTTGGTTTTTTCATGGTATTGATCTGTTTAGGAAGTGGCATCATGAGAGATATATCCCACTTAGAAATCACAGTAAGTTGCTGTCTTTTCACCTATCTACATTACTTCTGTTTTTGATAGTCATCTCTGCAAAAAATTATGTGTTTGCATCCAGTTGTTTTTAAGAATATCTGCTTTGGAAATTAAACATTGGATAAAAATAGTTTTCCTTAAAAAATGAAAGTTACTGGTGAGAGAGTTACAGCTTCTTTCTCCATTTCTGAATTTAGAGGTTTTGTGGACTCTGGCTACAGGAGGGGTTTCCTTTTTACGTACTCAGAAATGGACATGGTGAAGTCCATTGGTATTCTGGAATTATATCTTCTAGTTGAACATATTCTTGGTTATTTTATATTTAGCATTAGACATTTGAATGTGGATAATTTAGAAAAAAATTTCTATGATTTATAATTTACATAAATATAAAATTTGTCTATTGATAATAAGGCCTAAGATAAATAGTCTTGAATTAATAATGTGTCACTTTTAAAGATTTGATATTTGCTGTCTGTCCAGACACATAGAAAGGAAGAAAAGCAGAACTTTGAAGAATTCAAGTTTCATTTTCATTGGAATCCTGTTCTTTATGAGCAGATTATAGTTTTATTGTTGTCAAATGCAAATCTGTTTTTGGTTTCTAAAACTAAAGAAAACAATTCATGAGATTTTACCTTTTGAACTGAACTAAAAATGTTTATTGTGTTTGGACATGGAAATTTCTTGTAACTAAAATCCTTATTTAAATTTTAGACTTTAGCTTAATCTACGAGTCCATCAATGGATGAATAGATAAGGAAATGAGATATGTACACACACAATTAAAAATATTATTCAGCCTTGAAAAAAGAATGAAACTCTCTCATGTATGGCAACATGGAGGGAATTAGAGGATATTCTACTAAGAAATGAGTTAGGCACAGAAAGACAAATATAGCATGTTCTCCTTTATAATGTGGAACTAAAAAGTTGATCTCAAAGGAAAGGCTAGAATAGTGGTTACCAGAGACTGAGAGGGGGATGGGGGGATAGAAGGAAATTGGTTAATGGGTACCAAAATATAATTAGGTAAGAGGAATAAGTTCTAGTGTGTTGAAGCATAGTAGGGTGCCTATAGTTAACAACAATTTATTATGTACTTTATGAAGAACTAGAGGAGTTTGAAGGCTCCAACTAGAAAGAAATGATAAAAAATTGGAAATGCTAATTATCTTGGTGTGATAATTACACATTTTATACATGTATTGAATTATCACTGTATCGTTATTAAAAAAATAGACTATAGAATGTTGGTTGTTTAAATGTTCATGTCAATTATTAGCTGTTTATACTGAACAATTTAAAACTAAGAGAAAAGATACTGTTCTCAACAAAAAGTGAGATGAATAGTGTTTTCACGAATTTTTAATTGCAGGCTCTTTGTCCATTAAGAGATGTGCCTTCTCACAGTAACCATGGGGATCCTTTATCATATTACCAAACTGGTGACATCATTCGAGGTAAGCATGTTCATCATACTAATAACAAAGTCAGAGCTGTTTATTTTTTATTAATTATGAAAATGTAGTCTAATGAGGGTAGTGTTGAGAAAGTTTTATTTAATATATATTTTAGTTTGTTTTTTATTAATCAGTTTTTTTCTTTTAAGCTGGAATCAAGGATATYGACAGATACCATGAAAAGCTTGCAGTATCTCTTTATAGCTCAGCTCTTCCACCACACCTGTCTGGTATTAAACTAGGTGTAATTACTTCTGAGGAGCTTCCTTTGTATTACAGGTATTTATCCATACTGTCTCAACAATGCTCATTACAAATTTCTTGAATTAAAATAGCAAATTTAGTCAAGTCAGGCTTCTGAAAATGATGGAATTTTAATTTCTCTTATTATAAAATGAGTTCATCTTATTTTTCTAATCTTCAGAGCATTTCAAATTTGGTAGAATGAACCATCTTATAATAGTGCCACTTCCATAAAAGACAAAAAAAATGCTATTAGTATTTAAACCTTATCTTATGATAATATATCTTTAAAGAAATGGGATATGCTAATTATTTGTTATTCTTGAATTTTTGCATTTTTGTCCCCCCACCCCCACCCCAAGGAGGAGTGTTGAACTAAATAGTAATTCTTTGGAGTCCTATGAAAATATCATGCAGAGTTCTCTGGGATTTGTTAATCCCGGAGTAGTTGAATTCCTTCTAGAAAAACTTGGAATAGATGAATCTAATCCACCATCTTTAATGAGAGGCTTACAAAGGTATAGTAACATCAGTATTATTCTCTAAGGTGGTAAGGGGAATGGGCTAAACTCAAAGGTTGCATAACATATTGACCATCATTGGCCTAGCAAAAGAAATATGCCACAGGTTGAATGAACTGGGTGATTTCATCTGCTTCAGGACAGATGAAATCACCCAGTTCTTATTGATGATCAGTTGTGTATCATGTGACCAAGTAAAGAGGGATGCAAAAACTTTATAAAAAATTTTTTGTATGTGCTTAAGAAAAAATAATATTTAACAGTAATGTTCATTTCTGACAGTTGAAGGATTTTGCTATGTAAATGGAATACTAATTTCTTGCTTGAGTTTCATTCAATGTTGAGTGCCTGTATGTCAGGCAGAGTGAAGTATAGTTAGTTTTAAAGTGTTTATAGTCTAACTTTGATTTTCTTTTAATAGCAAAAATTTCTCTGAAGATGATTATGCTTCTGCATTAAGAAAGAAACAGTCTGCGTCTTGGGCCTTAAAGTGGTAGGAAGATGTTTTGTTTTAACACTTATACTATGTAGTCTAAAAGAGTACGGAAAGTCAGGCATTCCTAAATCATTAAGATCAGCGTGTGTTCATACATATAAAATAAAGTTTTTTTGTCATTAGCCTATTTTGTAGGTATCACATTGGTCTTACATTGTAAAAAACAGACTTAAGTTCATCCAGCATTTTTAATGTCTTTCAAAATTAAATTGATTGACTGTAGTATCAACATAATTATTATAAAAATATCAGAATGCAGAGTGCTTCTTGTATATTGCAAATATAAGACATTTGCTTTTAAAACTTATTAAAATTTTATTAGATATTTTATGAAATGTTTGTGATTTTTAGTGTGAAGATTGGAGTTGATTATTTTAAGGTTGGACGCCACGTGGATGCTATGAATGAATACAATAAAGCTCTGGAAATAGATAAGCAAAATGTGGAAGCTTTGGTAGCTCGTGGAGCATTGTAAGTGAATTAAGGATTTTTAAGGGATATTTACAAGATAAATCTGAAAAATATTTATAAATAGCTCAAGATTACATTTTTCTTATTTAATATCTCTAGATATGCAACAAAAGGAAGTCTGAACAAAGCAATAGAAGATTTTGAGCTTGCATTGGAAAACTGTCCAACTCACAGAAATGCAAGAAAATACCTCTGCCAAACACTTGTAGAAAGAGGAGGGCAGTAAGTGTCAAACTTAGAGATCTAATATGGAACCAGCTACTTTTAAAACCTTACATAAGGAAAAAGCATCTTTAGCTCACTCAATTCAAAACACCTTTCATTTCAGTTTTGGATGAAAATATTTTTTAAATATAGTCCTTTTGAATTCTCCCCCTCCCTGCCTTATTCCCGAGGTTTTTATGATTGGTTGTATTTTGGTGTCTCAAGTTTATTGCTCTGAATATTCTCATTTCATAAAAATATAGATGGAAAAGTACCAGAGTATTATTTTTTTTTCAAGACATATACTAGGAGTTTTCTAATAATGAAGAATTTACTTTCTAATTTAATCATTCTAATAATATAACATCAAAAATATATATTAAGGGGCTGGCGTTGTAGCTCAGTGGAAGAGCACTTGCCTAGCATGTGTGAGGCACTGGGTTCGATTCTCAGCACCACGTAAATATAAATGAAATAAAGGTCCCTCACCAACTAAAAAATATTTGAGCAAAAAAAATTTTGTGTGTGTGTGTGTAGAGAGAGAGAGAGTGAGTGAGAGTTCTTTAGTTAGTCGTGAATAAGATTTTGCTATCTGTGAATAAGATTTTCAGCCTCTAACTCTGTCCAGGAAAAACCCACAAATTCAAATTAAATGGTAGAGCAAATCACTAAGAAAAAACATAATTATTGAGATGCTGGCATAATGCCTTACATAGCAAATAATTAATGACCAAACAGATCGGTGGAATTTTATTGTAGTGTTTTTTGAAGAAATGTAATGCTTGTTAAGTATCATTTGGTAATAGCCTGCTTTAATAATTGAGCCAGTTCATGATTAATAGCATAGTTTTTCTTCTAATGTTTTTTCAAATATTTTGCAGTATTTTTTTTTTTTAACTCACAAATACTTCTAATTAGTGATTGGAACTGCTTTACTTTCTCTAGATATATTGCTATTACCTACTGAGGTATGTTTGTCTTATTTTCCATGTACTGGGTATCTTTTAGCTGAGGAATGGCAAAATCAACCAGTTATTAAAACCAGAAATATTGATGATCTTTGATTTATTCTTTACTACCTATATCTAGTCTGCTGCCACAAAACTGATCCTGATGTTAGTTTTACAGTACATTTCCTCCTTTGAACTAAAAGCATCTTACAAAATACTTTCACTACTCTGTGTCCAAACTTTCTAATTTTGATTTTTCACAGCATAGATATCTGGGCTTTATTTAATGATTGTCTACAAACTAGTTGTGATATATATACGTGTGTGTGTGTGTGTGTGTGTGTGTGTGTGTGTGTGTGTGTGTATTCCCAAAGTTAACAGTGGATTTTCTGGGGGAAGAATTTTTATAGAAAGGAAAATTTTTTTATAAACTACTAGGAAAAGCCGATATACATAATTTTATGTTAAAGCTTGAGATCACCCTAAATTTGCAGACATCAATTTATCATGTATCTTTCTGTATTTCTACAATAAATGTGCCAATATTGTTAGTTATTAGTAATAGGTTTTCATTTGTTTTATGGAGTCTTTTTTTATCAAATAAATTACAATGAGAAACATAGTTTAGGTGTGGTTTTTAGAAAATAGTTTGGTAAACATGACTTTTCCCTAATAAGTTCCATCATATAAGCCTCTGACCTATATGTGTATTTGGGTGATTTTACTGTTTGTATAAAAATGCTAAATCTTCCTTTTAGGCTAGAAGAAGAAGAAAAGTTTTTAAATGCTGAAAGCTACTATAAGAAAGCTTTGGCTTTGGATGAGACTTTTAAAGATGCAGAGGATGCTTTGCAGAAACTTCATAAATATATGCAGGTGATTCTTTATTTCCTCTTAGAAACCTAGAGATATTTAAAAGTAATACCAAAGTATAATGTTCTAGGAAAAACTTTTGATTACCTAGTGGAACATTATGAAGTTCCTTTTTAGGTTTAGCTTATCCTGATTAGGTTTGGCATTGCTTCATAGTGCCTATTCCTCTTTTTGTTTGTTTATATTCAAAAGTAAAAATAGCCCTATAAGAAAATTCCTTTTACCTAAATTCAGTATAAAAGTATGAAAACTATCTATGGGCTTACCTGGTAAATATGAAATTATCAGTGTTGCTACTGTATAATTGAGTTAATTATARAAATCTTTTTGAGACATATTTTCATCTGCCTTTTCCTGTAATACTGATGATGATGTTTTCTCATGCATTTTCTTCTGAATTGGACCATTGCTGCTGTGTCTGTGACATCTGGTGCTGCTCATCCCCATCCACAAACTGGAAAATGATATCTTATGTAATCATGCATCCAACTGGGCTGTGCTATTTTTAAAATGGTTTGTATTTGAACGTGGTGATTTCCTCCCTTCAATTCACATTAATGGAATATATGTATTTGCATCTGACCTTTAAAATTTATATCTTATTTAAATTTTTCAATTTTTAAAAATTCTTTTTTTTCCACATGCGTTTTTTCCCCCTCTTTCTTGCACTCTGGGTCATTGGTACCACTGCAATGGCTTCCCCTTTTTTCATGGGATACCAACTGCAATATGGTCCTCAATACTGTTCTGGCCATTCCAATGATTAATGCCAAACATCTATGTGATTAATTTTTTTATGTTAAAATCAAATACTGTTTAATGCTGGCAATATGGTGATTTGATTAAAATGGGTTTCTGGTTGGGGGTGGTCTTTTGAATATTATTTTGCATATTGTGCTATTTTTAACGTGTGGTTTTTTCCGATATCTGGGTTCTAAAAGAAATCTTTGGAATTAAGAGAAAAACAAGCTGAAAAGGAAGAAAAGCAGAAAACAAAGAAAATAGAAACAAGTGCAGAAAAGTTGCGTAAGCTCTTAAAAGAGGAGAAAAGGTAAACTATAATATTCAGTATTTTTTAACTTAAAGCAACTACTGAGTTGAGCCCAAAGTGCCATAAGGAGGTAAAGTAAGTAAAAAAAAAAAAAAGTATTTCAAATGATAATGTCTTAAGAATTCTTAACAAGTATGTGTTCAACTTGTTTTCCTRTAAAAGATTATGTAAAAAAACAAAATTAATCTTAGAATTAAAATATAGAATAAGTTATTTTAATTTTCTGTCATGAAGAAATGTTTTAGAAGAGCAGGTTCTTATCTAGGGATGGTTTTGTTCCCCAAAAGACCTTTGTCAGTGTTTGAAAATATTTGTTTGTTATAAGTGGTGGTATGCTACTAGCATATGGTGGACAGAGGTCAAGGATTCTGTTCAACATCCTGCAATACACAGGACCTACACCCTCACAAAGAGCTATTTGGTCCAAAATGTTAGTTGTGCTAAGGTGGAGGAACTATGAAACTAAAGAGGGTCAGATATAAAACTTCAGTTTTCTCCCTGTGTGTTAATATAGTTTTAGTTTTTAAGGTAGTATTGAAAATGTCACTGTGTCCTTCAGAATTGACCTGCTTACAGTGACACCTGTCCACATAGGTATTTTTCCCAGAAGTCATGATTGATGATAAAAATTGGACCTCATAGTAACAGATTATTGTTACATCATTTATCTGAGCTACAGCTTATAGGAAATMTGTAAGTGAAACAATAGGGTTGAAATAACTATGGATAATTTATTAGCAGTTTTGTATTTAACATTATCTGATGAGTGAACTGGGTTTTTTTTAGGCTAAAGAAGAAAAGAAGAAAATCATCCTCCTCTTCAAGTGTTTCTTCTGCTGATGAATCAGTTTCTTCCTCATCCTCTTCCTCTTCTGATCACAGAAGGCATAAGAAACGAAAGAGGAACCGGTCAGAGTCTTCTCGAAGTTCCAAAAGGCATTCATCTAGGGCATCCTCAAGTCAGATAGATCAGAATAGGAAAGAGGAGTGCTATCCAGTTCCAAGTAATACTTCTGCATCTTTTCTTAACCAAAAACAAGAAGTGGAAAAACTACTGGAAAAGCAAGACAGGTTTCAATATCAAAAGACACAGGTAAAAGAGAAGGATAAATGCCCTCTTTCTTCCTCTTCAGCTGAAATACCAGATGATTTTGGAGGTAGGTCTGAAGATCCAAGAGATTTTTACAATAGCTATAAAACCCAGGCAAGTAGTAGCAAAACTGAAAAGCCATATAAATCAGAAAGACATTTTTCCAGTAGAAGAAATTCCTCAGATTCCTTCTATAGGAATTCAGAGGACAAGATAAAAATGTATGGTCACAGGAGATTTGAAAAAGACATAGAGGGAAGAAAAGAGCACTATAGAAGGTGGGAGCCAGGTTCCGTGAGGTATTCCACTTCACCAGCAAGTTCAGACTACTCTTGGAAGTCAGTTGAAAAACACAAAAAATACACTTATTCTGGATCACGTGATTTCAGTAGACATGAGCAAAGATATCGGTTAAATACAAATCAAGAATATGAAAGAGAGGACAATTCTGGGGAAGATAACAAAACAGAGATTCCAGAAGAAGATGGACTAAATAGCAAAGAGCAATCAGACAGCAAAGTTAAAAAAAATTTACCTCAAAATTTACTCAATATATTTAATCAGATAGCTGAGTTTGAGAAAGAAAAAGGAAATAAGCAAAAAAATTAATATTTAATGGAAATCTGCATGGTTACACTAAAATGCTGTTGAAAGTTTTGGGGTGTTTTAGTCATTAACAATCTGATTCAGAAATGTCTGCTCTTAAGATTATTTGTAAAGATTACTGAATCCCTTTTCTCAAATTTTATTTGTTTCAGTTGTAGGTCCCTTTGTCACAACCTGAGTTTTAGGCTTTTTGTGGGTATGTTTATATATAGTATATTTCTTACTCTATTTAAACTTCTTCACCTGAAGATAATTCTCTGACAACATTGTTCCTTTGTTGTATTATGGTGTGTGAGAATTCTGTGGCTCACCTACCTTGCCGTATGCAAGTAAATTAAATTGATGCATTGAACGCTTGGATCACTTTCATCAAAAATTGTATCTTCTGTTCAATTAAAAGCCCTCAACTTTTGAAAGATCGTGTGTTTGGATGATTTTCGAGTGCTATTTTTTATAGCTAACATTTATTACTACTTTGCATAATTTCATTTTAGACTGCTAGATTATGTCCAAATTTTCCTGTAAATTAGATCCTGATTTAATTTTTAAAATTTTTGTGTATGTGTGCGTGTGGTGCTGGGAATCATACCCAGGATCCCCATGCTAGGCAAGCCTTCTACCACTGAGCCACCTCCAGTGAGCTTAACAAATCCTTTAGGAATAAGAACAAGTTAGATGATTAGAAGCCTATTTTGCTTATTTCTTATTTACTTATTGGTACCATTATGGCCCTATGAAATTTTTTGACTTTAAATATTGGCAAGACCCTCAGAAACTATGTTCTAGGCAAGAGTAGATCAAAATAGAAAGTAATCCTTTTAGCAAAAATAGCAGAGAAGCATACTAAATCTGGTTTTCTTCTGGAGGAAAAAATGCAGAGGTTCAGTTGGGAAAAGTCTCTAGGCATGTTTTTAAAGTTTTGAGCTAATCTGCCATTTTCTACTTACCACCTCTCCAATATTGCCATCTTAGGAACTGAATAAATGACTTGATGCCTCAACCAGAGCCTGATTTTACTCAAAATAAATTTCAGCAGCTGGAGCTCAAGAAGGAAGGCACTTGGATTTTAAAGATTCCCAGAATTATTGAAAGTTTTATACTCTGGGAGATACAGATAGGAATCATGTGCTGGGCTTCTGATATATTTAGAAAAATTAGGACTCTATAAGCTGTGAACAGCATTGGGCTTTTAATCCTGCTGCTGAAGATGGTACAGGATGAGTATAGATGGGTATCTCCTGCAAAGGCTTGAGTGAGAAAATGATCAGAGAAGTGACTCATTTCTTATTCTATGYTGCAGTGCTTGCCACAAAATTATAAAGTTTTAATATTGGTGTATACTATTTGTGTCCTTCAAATCCTAGTGATAAAAATCTAACAAATTGATTTTGTAGTGGAACAGGAATAAGAAACTGGTTAAAAGAGGTAGTTACGGCATTAGAAATAGGCTAGACAGAGAATAAGATGGGAGACCAGAGGGAAACAGCATTTTTCATAGCTTGGCAACCTGGTAGTCAAGCAGCAGGAATACTGCTTTTCTGTGAGATGTGTGAAAGAGAGATTCTATTAAAACTCAATACTAGATAGCCAAAATACCTTAGAGACTTAGAAATTAGGTATATTAAGTAAGGAAAATGGACAAAAATAAGATCTGGGCTGCTGATGGAAGCAGTGGAACTAGCACACAAGGACAAAAAGTCAAGAAATGCAGTGGACACTTCTAGCATGGAAAATCCTGAGATCTGAGGGGCAGCCTGCACGAATCAGGAAGCTATTGGGCACAGTTAATTGGTACACAAATGATGCTCTGTTTATCAGTTGTCCACAGAGAACCAAGGTAGAAGCCTTCTTGAGCCTACCAACTACACTGTTGGCCAGCATTGGATCCAGGAAAAGTGGGCTGGCTCCCATACACAGTAAAGGGGGACATGAGCTACATAACCTAGATTAAACCTACCAAAATCTGGAGAAAATTAGGCACAGAGAGTATTTAGCTCCCGGGAATACAAGTTGGGGAGAATCCAGTTCCCTCCCCACTTCAGTCCTGTGGCTTGCAGGACCAGCTACCATGGGTCAGGAATCTGAACAAGGCAAGGGTGTGGGCACTCGAGACCAACCCCAGGAGGCTAGTAAGGACGCAGGACTAGCTGCAGTGGGTCAGTAACCTGAATTGATGGCATGTGAGACAGGCCCTGGGAGACCATGAAGGACAGTAGCTGTGAGCAACAGAAGTGGCAAGGGACTGGCTCCCTATCTTATGAGTGGATGCCTGGGTAGACTCCTGGAGTACAGTCTCCCAGTACAGTTTCATAGCTGATGCACTCTAAAAGTGCATTGATTTAATACCTTTATGACAACTAGCCATGTAATATAGCACCTGGGGTCTCACCAGACATAAGCCACCTCCCTGAGAGCTCCATCTACAGGTCCTCATCTCAAGAATCTCCCAATGACTTCATTCTGGAGCAAGCTGACAGTATTTTTCATCCCAAACTTCATCTTAACACCCAGAAGGGAAGCAGAAGTTTTAGATCTTGGTGAGCAACACAATAAAAAGAAAGGAGATGACAAACTGCAGCCCTTACTCTTGCACCTGGTACATACCTCAAGAAGAAATGGAAAAAAAGACAGTTGGGCACAGACAGCAAACATTCCCACTGATATTTGGTCCACAGCAATGGAAAGAACCTTTTTTATTTTTCATCAAGATTCTATTCTTTTTTTCTTGTGTGCTGAATGATTCATGGATATACACATTTGTATCTGTTTTTCTCATTTCTAGCATTTTTTGAAGGCTTACTCTGTCTTAAGGATTAGGTTTTTGATTATTATAGTTTGATTTTGTATTGGTTTCTTTTCTAGTTTCTTTTTCTTTTATCTTGCTAAAAGCCGAATTCCATTTTTCTCTTCTCCACTCTTAATTTTTCATTCTTTTTTTTAAATCTGCCCTCATAATTATCACACCCTATTTTGCTTTTGCATTTCCACATTCACCTGAAGAATCAGAAATTGTAGACACTTTTCTATCCACCTATCTCTTCATTTTTCCTCTTAATTAATTCTAAATATCTCTTAGCACTAGTTGGTTTACATAACACCAGACCCTATCACTAATGCTGTAGTAGTAATACTATGGAAGTCAAATATCTACTTTGGATTTTACATCAAACATAATAACATGATCACTTTTCCTACTGATGGAAATTGCTGATCCTAGCCATTCTGTTTATTGTGCCAATTAACATTGTTGATATGATAGAAACCAAGTACTTTATTGCATATATTGTTTACATAGGTGGTTGCTGCTATTTGGCTTCCCATAATCTGTGAGGTACTAGAAACCAACAGGTATACTATAAGTTCATAGGGTAGAAACTCTGCTGCTTCAAATCCATTCATATAGATGGGTAGACATGCAGACAATGGGAAAAAGGGAACAAATAACCCAGAATGCCTTAACAACAGACTCCACTGATCCCACAGTGGATGAAAAACTAACAATTTTAGAGCTAAAAAATATTAAAGTAGACTATTAACAGACTTAATACCAAATATTTCATCCATCRATAACTGAACACACTTTTTKCTCAGCAGCACATGGAACAAAATAGACCACAGTTTAGGCTACAAAGCAATTCAGCAAATACAAAAAATAGAGATAATACCCTTCATTTTAACAGATCATAATGGAATGAAATTTAAAAACATAAGATAAAAATAGAAACTAATACCTGAAGACTAAAAAACTCACTATTGAATGATGAATGGAGAGCAGAAGAAATCAGGGATGGAATAAAAATACTYAGAAGAAAATGAAAATAGAGATACAACATACCAAAATCTCTGGGACACTATGAAGGTRGTTCTAAAGAATGCTCAGCAATGAGCTCAAACATTAAAAGAATAGAAATATACCAAAAAGATACCTAACACTACATGTCAAGCCCTTAGGAAAAGAACAAACCAAAACCCAAATCAATAGAAGACAGGAAATCCTTAAAATCAGAATTGAAATCAATGTAATTGTGATTAAAAAGACAGTTCAAAAAAGTCAACAAAACAAAAAGATGTTTGAAAGAATTAACAAAGTTGATAAACACTTAGCCAAGTTAACCAAAAGAAAGGAAAAAAAAAAACTCTAAAAGTTAAAATGTGTGAATAAGTAAATATTACCA